CCATCCGCCCCCTCCCCCACTCTCCCCCCACCACCACCACTACGCTCGCGCTCAACGCATATCCATGAAAACATGTTAATATAGCGAAGTCATTAAAGTTACACAGCTGTATCTTTATTACTGTACTACCGGTATAGCAAAGCCTAGCTATCATAGATTTTAGATCTGTATTAGTAGTATCCTAGATATATATGCTCTGAGCTAGAACGCGGTGGCGGGAGGGTCACTTGATTCGGTTGCCAGTGAGTTTATCAGAAGAATACCCGGCTACAGTACACGTCAGTTGAGCGCTGTCGCTCTGCGGCACTTGTTTATTATTGATAGTATTTAGATTTTTAGCTAGTATTAATAGTAATTTTAAATGTTAATGGTAAATTTTATATGGTGGAAACAGCACAGAGTGCATTTTGTTTTTGTTGTTTGAATATTTTAATTAGGTTAGATATTTTACGCATAACATAATTATTCGCAAATTATTCGTAAGAAATATATTTTCTAATTTTACACTATTGAAACGTCTTAGAAAGTTCCTATCGGGGAAGTGCTCTAGATGTATTTTTTATTATTGGTAGTATTTAGATTTTTAGCTATTAATAGTAATTTTAAATGTTAATGGTAAGTTTTATAATATATTTTGCCGGTGGAAACAACGCAGAGTGCATTTTGGTTTTTTGGTTTGAATATTTTAATTAGGTTAGATATTTTAAAACAGTAACAATTTTTAGTGTATTTATTTCTAATCGCGTGAAAAGTCGACAAAACTACGGACGACGTCCGTACCTGTTATGTATTATGTAGAATATATTAATAACGAGGCGCTGTAAAAATATACATTAAACAGGAACAGCGTATTCCATCTCGTATATAATACAAACGTTCTTTCCACACAGCTTAACTGCATTTTCTCTGTATGTACAACAACCTGCAATGGTACCATAAAAGCATATTATACTATGTATGCAAATGCAATTTCCGTCCTACTTATTATCACATTGTCTGATAAACTAATTATACAGTTTAACCTTTCCGCTTACACAAGCTTTAGCATCACGTAAAAATAATTTATATTACAATTATAGCCTAGCCGCGAAAACGTTTAACTTTTAACAGAGATGGGTTTTTGTTCGATGAGGAATTGCAGCATTGATTTCCTCATATCGTTCAACGAACGATGAAAGCAAAAATAACCGTGTTGCTGTGTGTAAATATATAATAGGTGGCAGTATACCACTCAACGCATCAATAAAATGCTCCACCAATTCTCTAGGTGGCGAAATATTACCGTATATTATCGTAAGATGCGCCTGGTGATAATAACCAGGTAATAACGCCACGAACCATAATTTCTCCCACTACAAATGCGCTTTACCTGATTTCATCCCGTAAGATATGTGCTAATCAGTGCAACGCAAGAAGAGTAAAGCGCGTACGTGATTGTTCGAACGAATAGTTCTAGTTGCTCATCGAATGAGAAATACAGAAAAACTATTATGCATCGGTCTGTAAACATGAGGCTCTAATGTTATGCCGTGTGTGAGACTTTCGACTGCATTTAGCATCCTTCTTCATCTGCGGGCTTCAGCAGTATTGTTGACACTCTCGGTGCCAATGTACGTTAATTATCCAGAGCCTGACGGCTGTCGGTACAATCCTTTGATGTGCGTGCGGCCTTACACCACCGTCGATACTCGCAAGGGTTAGTTACGCAATATGTCAGAGGTCAGCAGCGGTACTCGAACTGTCATCCGCTCATTGAGGGAGTGCACCCGAAGTTCACATCGCTGGCGGCAGAGTCCGCTAGGGAGCGCCCTCTACGCGTCCGCTAAGGAGCGCCCTCTACGCGTCCGCTAAGCAGCGCCCTCTACACGTCCGCTAAGCAGCGCCATCTACGCGTCCTCCCCGAGCTTTTCGTTTAGAATCGCCAGCGGTCCGATGACGCCGGACAGCCCAGACGACGACACGATGGAGTAATGCTCGGGGTGGTGGTGCGCGCGCTGAGCCGTCTCGTACAGCTGCTTCTGCATGACGGCCAGCGACACCTTGTTCGTCGCCAGCATGTCCCGCATCGAGATCATCTCTCCCGAGCCGAGCCTCTCCATGTCGCTGTCTATCGTCACCGACTCGGCGTCGATCGTGCTGATGCCGACGCCGCCGTCGCCGAGCCGCCGCGACGTCGACGCGATCGGAGCGACGGCGTTACGCTTCGTGCTGATCAGCGGTTTCTGCTTGGAGTAGCAGACGAGTCGGAAGTTCAGCTTCATGATGAGCCAGTTGAGGCACTGCTTGATGACGATGGAGATCACGTTGAGGAGGCTGTAGACGCACGAGCTGCCGAAGACGATGAAGAGAAAGTTGGCGACACCGTAGAGGATGTTCGTCTCGGCGCTCGGCCGCTGCGCGCTCACCATGTCACCAAACCCTATAGTCGTGTAGGTGACGAGGCAGTAGTAGAGCGAGTCGAAGTAGCTCCAGCCCTCGACGTGCGCGTACACGGCTGAAGCCACGCATGCGATGCACGTTGCGCCCAGGAACAGATACACCATCACCCAGTATACGGACGGCTTCCAGCTGTCCAGGCTGTCCACCTCGCCGCCGTCCGACCCCCGGGAGCCCTCCGAGGCCCGCCTCTCCCCCGCACCGCCGCCTCCCCCGCCGCGGTCCTGGAGGAGTCCCTTGGCGCGCAGGCGTCCCTCGTGGTAGGCTCGCAGCACGAAGGCGAGGAAGCTTATGATGCGCTCGAGGAAGAGGTTGAAGAAGAGGATGCCGCCGGCGCAGCCGAGCAGGCCGTAGCACATCATCGCCACCTTGCCGGCGATCGTCTGCGGAGTCGTCATGCCGAAACCTGTGAAGCCACGAGTTCACGTTAGCACATAGGTGGCTATAGCGTTGTTAGTTTTAACAGTTAGCTAGTTAGAACGTTATATATTATATATACATGTACTATATATATATATTATATAGCACGCTAGTAAGTAAGCACGTTGGTTATTGGCGCGCTAGCCGTTTGCCCATGACGTAGTCAGCATGGTATCTAGTTAGCACATGACCTAGTTAACACGTTATCTAGATAGAACATGACGTAGTCAGCATGGTATCTAGTTAGCACATGACCTAGTTAACACGTCATCTAGATAGAACATGACCTAGTGAGCAGGTTATCTAGTCGCTAGTAAGTAAGCACCGTTGGTTATATTGCCGCTAGCGTTTGCCCATGACGTATGTCAGCATGGTATCAGTTAGCACAGCGCCATGACCTAGTTAAATCACGTTATCTATAAGATAAACATGACTATCAGCATGTAATCTATTAGGCAACACATACCTAGTACACGTCATCTAAATAAGAACATGACCTAGTGAGCAGCGTTATCTAAGTTTGCACATACTAGTTAACCACATTATTTAGCTAGCCATGACCTGTTAACACGTTATTTATTTAGCACATGACCTAGTCACCAGGTTATTTAAGTTAGAATATTGACTAGTCACATTTAATTTAGTAGAACGAATGACTAGTCACCATGTTATTAGGTTAGCACATGACCTATCAGCCTATGTTATTTAGTTAGCACATGCCTAGTCACCATTTATTTATTAGCACTATGATTCTAGTTAACACTCATACAGACTAGAACATGACTAGTGAGCAGTTATCTAGTTGCACATATGACCTTAGTTAACACATTATTTTAGCTCCACATGACCTTAGTTAAAGTTATTTATTAGCACATGACCTATCCATGTATTTAGTTAGCATTATGACCCTATGCACCATGTATTTAGTTAGCACATGAGTTAGTCCAACATGTTATTTAGTTAGCACATACCTATCACACATTTATTTAGTAGCACATAACCTAGTCACATGTTATTTAGTTAGCCACAATGACCTAGTCACCATGATATTAGTATACACATGACTAGTCACCATGTGATTTAGTTACAATGACCTAGTCACAATGTTATTAATTAGCACATTGACCTAGTCACCATGTTTATTTAGTTAGCACATCCGACCAGTCACCATGTTAATTTATTAGTTACATGACCTA